TAAAATAAAATATTAAAGAAATTTGATTGTGTAATTCTTTAACAGACGCTATTTTGTGCTAGAACCTCAGCCGGCCAATCAAATTCTGATGTGTATATGAAGGAGGTAACTAATGATATGCAATTGAAGGCAATAATTATGTTTGCAAAGCAAACAAGTCGAGCAAATCACTAAAATACTATCAAAGTTCTTGCAAATATGGCGAGAGCATTTTACTTCACGACAGTGGGATCTCCTTCATCCAGTACTCTCTCGTTTAGGTTGTACGAAAATAAATTGTTCCGGGCAAAAGATAAAGCATGTAAAAGTGACGCAATATAATATATAAATTCTGAAGATTTTCAATTGATCCGGGCAAAAGATAAAGTATGTAAAAGTGACACAATATTATATATAAATCCCGAAGATTTTCTAAATTGAACAAAAATAATAGTTTCCATCACCTAGTATAATTGAACAGCAGATTGTGTTAACTAAAATGAAAATATGTCGAAATCCTTCACCGGCTCCTGCACAAAAGGATTGCCTTATGACAAACCCAGTGATAAAGAAGGAGCCACAAAATATCGATGCAAACTCAACTCACACAACTTCTCCAACGCGGTCATCTGTTGAGATTTATCTCTATATATAACTAAGCCATTTCCAGGACTGCACATTCAGCCAGTCAATGTGCGACGTGGCCTCTGCAGCATCATATGGCGTGCAGGTCACGTTTGGTTTACAGCATGCACAATTAAAGATGGACACCAACCCACAACTACAGGGCTCTTCTTTTACATAAATAATGAAATTACGATAAACATTCCATCAAATTCTTTAATTGTACTAAACTGTGCCTGACTTATACGAAGGATTGCAATGTAAATGAACGTTGATAATTTCTTCGGACATTGTAATGAAGTTCTTCTCCGTTCCATTTTACTCGGCAAAAAACGTTGCTCGCCAAAGGTTTTTTTTTTGCATTCTTATTATTATTAGTACGTAGTCCATCATCAGATGAAAGCTGCCCGCGCATGACAAGTACGAAATATATTTATCCAATATATTATTCTTATTTATCAGGAACTGGTACATCAAAACTGGTCAAACAAATAATTCTGAATAATGATAATACTTCCTCTCACGAATTGAATGCAGAACGCTGGATACTTAACAACTGCATTTTGGAGACAAAATATATTCCTCATGCCTCATTTATATATAAATATATAAAATAAATTCCTCATTTCGATCGGTACATCCACAATTCCTCACAAGGGATAGGCACCCTTATAACTCGTATGGGCTGACACACTGAACACAAGTTTACCTGATGGCCTAAAAACTGCCAAGTCCGCGGACAACAAAGGCCAAAAGAGGCCCACTATTCAATTTTTACGAGCAAATTCGAAGGTTTCGGTGCAAAAACTCAATTTTCCTATATATGGAAAAAAATACGATGAGGAATTAAGTTCCACGCTTTGGTCGACCATCGCAATTGAAAAAACAAAATCGTCGAATTTGGTCAGAAAACGACTATCTGGCAACCCTCGTACACACTGCGAAGACAAAAGATGCAAAGACTGCGACCAATTTTTATTTTACAGGTAAAAGTATAATTTTTTCAATGTTTAAGTATAATGAATTACTTTCAATTTATTGGAAAATTTTCCTTGTGGTCGAAGCTCTGTTTACGGGAGCTCAAAAACAGGTTCTGATGTGCAGCAGAGGGCAAAGTAAGGGGAAAAACTAAAATATTTGTCCTCCAAGTGTTTTATATGCTTTCTATTAGTTTTTTATTTTTATCTGCTGCTTTGAATGTTTATCTGTTACTCCCATCTGTTGTATCGGTACCATCGCTTGGCTGCGATAGGAAGAAGCCTTAATTCAAACACCATTCATTTCTTGCCATCTATAACCACCCAAGAATGTTATAGCCGATATAATATTGATACAGTTCAATAATAGAATTTTACCAAGTAATAATTCTATGTGAAATTTAGGGCATGATCATTATAATTTTTTTAATCCCTCAAAGTTTTCGAGTTACTCAACTTCAGCCATTTCTCTCATCCATAACTTTCTTGTTACTACGGTTACTTTAACGCACATTCCATTCACTCATCCCATCCTGAGTTAAGAAATATTATAAAACACACCACATATTTTTCTCCTTAAAAGTTTCGCTAATAACAAATTATTTATATGATCGTTATTAATTCATTATTAAAAACTTAATGAATTAACTCAATTTAACTTTAATTAACTTAACTTAATGATCACCTTTCATACCATTGCTGTATGATAACCAAGTAACAAGCGAGGATCGAGGCTCGCACCAACGTACCAGAGAACGTCGCACCTATTCGAGTTTTATTCATATCCTTATAGATATGTTAACAACACATTTTCTAAACGTTCTTATGAAATTGTAAAATAATAATTTGTTAATAAAAAAATGTGTTCATAATGCGTCTACAAAATTGAAAAGGATTCATAGGACAATAAATGCAAGAAATTTAAGCTGCTTAACCTTGATGAGCTGGTAAAACTTGATGGATTGGTTTAGAATTAAAACGCTGAAGTCATCGCTTGCAGTAAAAATTAAGTGAGAAACTAAATGATTTCATATTACGATGGCAGGGACAATAGTTTCAAGCTCCCTAACAATCTCAGGAATTTGCTCATAATTCGATGCACCACTCATTTAATGGAAAATATTTTTATTTTCAGCACATCAATCACTACTGCCAATTCATGAAAAAAATTGTCAAAAGATTCATAATTGGGAAATAATTGTCAACACAATCACCTTGTGCTAACAACATTTTAACGCAAATCTGCCCCTCGTTGCAAAGCATTTCGTTGTATCCACTATTATTTACAAGGAATATGCAGTAACTCGTATGGGCTGACACCACGAGCTGATTCAACGATTCAACACATGGTATATTCCCTCTTCTTACTGCATTGGTTATAACTTGATTCAAGGGCTCGTTGTCACTGCCATTTTTAATAATTTAGAAAACACTTATAAATATGAATGGCTTATATTGTCCATATAGTGGCGCACGTTCTTACCCACAGAGCGAGCAGAGAGCGGTGACAAACCGTGTAAGGATTGCCCACGCAAAGCCAAGAAGTGCAGTATAATTGTTGTAATAAGGTCTTATTTACTTCTCTAAGTGAAATAAGAACATTTCGAAGAGGAAGCAGAAGATATCATCAATATAAACACATTAATACGTAGCTTATCCCATGAATCCACCTGATTTACGAAGATCGCCAAAAGTGTCTACCACGGTACATGAATAAACTACCTTGTAGGTTAGTGTAACTACGCCCCTACATATCCATAGCCTATAATGAACATGATGCGCCGCCCTGAGAGTGAAAGTGAGAACAACGGAAGACACGCGCCTTGTGCTGTTCAGGTCAAACCTTATGCAACAGCGCGGCCGAGTCTTGGGAAGTTATATTGTCATTTCGTGTGAATGAGAATTACTTCTATTAGATAATTGTGTTCGTCTTTTCTTTCTAGTTCCAAGCAATATTTCCTACCAACCAAATTATCTTGCTTATAAAGTAAAAAAACTGCGCTGCAACTTCTTCACGCGCCAACATTTCTTCTCGCTTCGAATCACCGACATGTGGAACAGCCTCCCCGATGACATCGTTGGCGCTCCAAGTATGAACGCGTTCAAGAACTGACTAGAAAAAGCTATGGAAAAATATATGTTTAGAATTAAAATGCCTACAACCATATCGAACCCGGTTTAAGTCTAGTAGCTATTCCAAACTATCGTTAGTCACGAAAAGATTTATAAATGTTAGCTTTATTCTAGTAAATTTGCATACTTTTATGAGAAGCCACGCTGCGCTCGCGTCACTTGACCAAATTCTGGGTAATGAATGCAGTAGTCTGAACTTGTATATTTTAATTCGCTGAGTTACAGGTAGATCTGAAATTCTTTTTCCGAAGTTACCAGATATACGAGTATATTGTCATCGACACATTTTATGAACGATATAGGTATTCTAGAATTATTTTCAATCAATGTATAAAGTAAATATAAAACATTCGAAGAGTTTAAGCTTAAAATAATTTAACTTAGGCAGAAACACTTAATCTTAAACGTCAACGCTAATATTATATCATTATATAGGAGATTCAAAAACCTTTATATTGCGTGTCGGCATTAATTACACTGTTAGAAAAATTACCGTTAACGGTAATACCGGCGTTTCAGTGGCTGGTCGGCACGTGAAAAGAAACACCTTTTCACCGTTTTTATTCCAATTTAACACCAGAAATCCGTAAAACATCTGATAAAAACGGTAAAACAGTTTATTTTTACGGGGCGACCGGCCACTAGGATTCCGGGGGGACCGTTTTTTCTAACAGTGTACTATGACTCTCAGGCACATGTGTCGCCCATTTAACCGCCACTGCGCCTAGGTTATACCACTCATCCGCAAAAAGAGTATGATACTGGTGGAGAATTGAATTGTTGAATTAGATTCATACCTAAAAATTGCTTAAATATTAGGATGTTACTAAAATGCCACTGTTCGGGCTTTTTACAACAGTCTCTAGCTTTACTTTCACTTCTTGTTTGTTTATCTGTCTGCTATAAATCATATAATCAATATTTAACACACTTCTGTCTAATCGATCTAAAATTTTGCACACTTGCGTAAAGTCGGAGACAATGCATGAATCAATTGACAGAATATATAATGTTAAAAATTAAAAGTTTTTAATATAAAAAAGTTTAAAAAGTAATTTTGTCTTTTACACATCTTTTAATTGATATTCAACACACTTCCACCTGTCCAATCGATCTGAAATTTTGCACACTTGGGCAAAGCCGGAGACAAGGCATGAATCAATGGACACAATTAATAATTTTGAAAATTTATTTCATATATTATTATTAAAAAAAGTTTAGAAATTATTTTTTAATATATAGAAATGAAATTAGAAACTCAATTTGGATGTGTAACATCGGAGACACTGTATTCTTTAGAAGTGTTGTATTTAAAATGTAATTTTTAAAAACATATTCATGGATCATATTCTTCGAACAGAATGCATTGCAACCTTATGGAAATTACTATTATCAGTGGGCAAACTTTAATTGGTTGCATTTATTACGCGACTGTGCATTTTATATACTACAATTTCATTTATCTTTGAATGATGACATCTTGTTGATATTAGCTCTTTCTTTGCCGGTTCTTTCTTTAGGAAGACCTCAGGAAACGATTGCATTGGAATTAAAAAATTATTCCTTATTCTATGTTTTTATTATTAACTAAATCACAAAATTACGAAGAATGCCAATGAAGTACTCATTTATATTGCAGATATTCTAACAGAAAATTGGCTCAGAACTTGTTGCCCTGAAAACTTGTTAGTAAAACAATGCGGTTAATTGTCATGTTGAAAATCTTGAACACATGAACTAAAATTACGGTTATAAATTATTCCTAAAAAGTTAAATTACCCCGAATTTTTTATAGTGTCAATTACATTACAATTTTAAAACTGTTTTAACATTTCATTTTCAATTGAAGCATTGTGTATAGACTTTAGTCACATTAATCAATTTATCAACGTCATATACAACTGCAAAACGTTTCAAACTTCTCCTATCATTATTTAGTACAGAAAATTTGCATAACAAAAACGACGATCTATGAGTGATTCGTTGAATTAGAATTTCGCAGAAAAATTAAATTCACTTGAATTTAATGCATTCTGTCATGAGTTCACGTTTGTGGTGTAGGCGAGAGTAGAGTTCATCTACGACCTAATTTCTTAGCCGAGCTTTATCAACTGATATATCCTTCCAAACCGTCCTTTGCGTTATTCCATTGCTGAAATAACCTGACCCAGAAGTTCCATTTTTTATTATTCCGTTTGAAATTTTGCCTCCGTGATTCATCTTTTCATTTTCACTGTCACCGGACAATTCTTCGGGTGACGAACGCCCGTCGCTTAAATCCATGTTATTGTTGAGCTTCCTGCTATAGGCATTCACGATCTCAAATGTCCAAAGGATGTGCAAGATTAACAAAATTGAGGTGCTACCTTGTGTCAAAAACTTAGCCGGCCAACTCTTTCCAGATGTCTCTGTGAACGATGGAACTAATATCATTAGAGGAAAAGCAACGAGTCTGGTAGCAATCCAAATTAGCGCAAACACATACCCTAAAATATCAGCGTTCCTGCCTACGTAACGAAGCATTTTACCAACGGATAGAGGAATATCTGCCACCTCGTGCAAGAACACGGCTAAGGCTTGCTGCTTTAGATTGTTCATAGTTAAATTGAGGCATGCCAATGACAAAGTTATGATGTGATGAGACAACATGATGTAAAAGTCATGACGACGGTCTAAAGTAAACAGGACGTAAGACTGCGTAATATAAAAGCCGGTGTCGATAACACAGTACCACCAAATGACAGCTTGCGTTTGCTCAAACGGAAAGTTGGTTAGGGCTTTGGACGGCTCCCATACGAACTCCTGTGGTAACATTATGAAAAGCCCAGCGATGAAAAAGCAGCCATAAAATGTAGCTTGCCAACCCATGTCACAGAACTTCTCCAGCGTTGTCATTTGCCCAGATAAAGCTTTCTGCCGAAGCCATCTTTCGACTGCTCGCTCCGACCAGTTGATGCGCGACGCGGCCGCTGTCAGCAGTTGGCGCGGCGGTCGCGCTCGGTTTACAGCATACAAATCTTCAAGAGTTTTGTTGGGCGGTGGGGCAGGATAAGGCCGAGACCTGACGCCAGCCCTCAGGCCCAAGGGCTTCAGAATGAAAGGGATGAGGATATAATCTCTGAAAATGTACAGAACTGCGCCGAAAAAGATCGACCATTGCCAGTAGACACCAAATTCTGGATAACTTTCTCCGACGGTCTCCCGAAGTTCATTCCATGTAATATTGTTCGGTAGGAAAAACCACTCGCCAAAAGTTTGGTTTCTCATGTTAAGTTATTTACTGTATGACAATTTATCAATGTCTGTAATTGAGGAGTGAAATATTAAATGGGACAAAAATTGGATTTATTTATTATTTACCACTCAAATTTAATTTTAAAACTCATATTTTACCGTTCTAAAGATTTCAGAGTATAAAATTTTTACTTTTACCTATCATTATTTCTAAAATATTTGATTCAACAGATTGGAACGAAAACAACTTTCTTCGATTATTGGTTAGTGACTATGTACAAAAGTGAACTGTAACCTTTCACCATTCAAAAATGGTAAAATCTATCATACTGTATGATCAATTTAGTCTCCTAAAGCTAAAAAAGTTGATCTCTAGATGATGACCCCAACATTTTTTGACAGCCAAACACCGTGGCTAATGCTGCTCTAGGCTCACAAAAAATGTTGATGTGTTTTTTCGTTAATCCTTGCACAGTCACTTTAGTAAATTAAAGCTCTTTTATATACCAGTTCTTTTTACAACACTTCTCTTTAACTTCACTTCGTGTTTGTTTGTCTGCAACAAATTTTATAATCGATATTCAACTAACTCCTACCAGTGCAATCGATCTGAAATTTTGCACACTTGCGTAAAGTCGGAGACAATGCATGAAACAATTGACGGAATAAATAATACAAAAACATTAAGAAAACAAATTTTCTATAGATGAAAAAAATTCAAAATAATTTTTTTATTTAAAAATGAACAAAGAAATTCATTGTATATTAATAACATCGGAAACACTGGCCTCTTTAGAAGCATTGTCTTTAAGAAAAATTGTTAAACGCATATTATTTCTCCGTTAGGTTACATTTTACTTGTTATTGTAATACACTACCGATTAATTCACACCCCGGATATCGACTTTGTCTTGCTATTATTTTTTTAAGCTTTTACAATTTTTAGTTTTAATCGTACACAATACTAAACAGAGGGAGAGGGAGTAAAGTCTGAAGTCTATGTTAAGGCGGTAATGCCAACCGTCACAGAGGATATGCAGAGTTGTCTAGTTTTTGAGTTTCTATATACGTACGGATATTGTGGTTTCTATACGTATGGATGTGATGCTTTTAATAAAATTGTTAGGAATAGTAACATACAATTTTAAAAAGTATTTTCTATTCCTGATAGTGTCATTCGCAAACATTGAGCTTCCAATAAATGCAAAATTTCGTATATTCCTCGAATTTTTATTTGCTTACGCCGCGCGTTGAGACGTTGATGCGCTGTGGCAATTTATTATCTGACGTATTTTAATCGAATCCATGGAAAACAATCACCGAAAATAAAAATTTAAATAATAAACAATGATGAATTGCAAACATATGAGAAAGAACAATTGGTACAATCAACGTTAAGTACAAAAATATGAACACGACTTGATTCAATGAAACTCTTTTTTCTTTCTTCAAATTGCTGCTATATTTCTTGGAACCCTTAAGCCTCATTTCTTTTAGAGCCTCGATCTATAAGTAACTGCAGCACTAATAGTTGATAGAGTTAGTAACTGCTACCACGTTAACACAGTTTCTGCACCAAATGCTGCCATATTTTGAGCCACATCAAATATTCAGCCACGAAGAAACTCCCTATTAATTTAGTAAACGTATTCACAATACAATGAGAGGCTACACCGGTGATCAAGACGACCCTCCGGAGTGAGAGTGAAAGGTTGACTGCGGGCAGACGATGCCCTACATATAGCAAGCCTCGCATGATGTAACGGCGCCATAACATATCTTGAAAGTTAGTACAACTTTTTGCATTTATTAAGATCATTTACGATCGCTCATGCAAGCAAATTCAATCGTTGCTTTCTAAAACTGGTTATTGATGAGGTAAAAGGTTCACAGCTTATTAGGGAGTGTGCCAGTTTTTATAACTCACACAAGTCTATTGACTCGTTGAAGTATTCATCATACAACAGGTCCTCCGTCATTCATTTTTACGAACACAGATTTATCGAAGTCTTCTTCTACTGTGCATCATTCAAAAGAAAAATCAGCAAAGTGATAAATTTGGTTGAATTTAATTTTTCATATCCGAATATTTGTTTCTTCGCTGCATTCAGTTACGCGGGGTAATGGAAAGTGCAGTTTTTTAGTCTTGCTGTTCTGGAACAGACATATGCGATTAAAATGAGTGATTTTTTTCACTCTGCGCCATCTCTTGAATTATGTTGTTTGAAAATTATTTTTTTTTATAAAAAGAATTCCCAGTGAAGCTATTATGGCACAAGTGTACACGCATCAGGTTTTTTCGATTAGATGTGGGGCAAGAATTTCGTATTTGGTTCTGAAATTGGGGGAAATATAGTAAGAGGTTAACCAGTATAGGCCCGCTTTTTTCAATCGTTTTTTTTTGTAGGTTATGCAAGAGCTCCGTTACGGCTTCTATGGAGAAACTTTCAGTTACTGGCACCAGTACTGCGATGAAACCTGTCCAGCTTGCATTTCATTGGAAATGGTCAACATTAGATTTGAATTAAACAATTCTGTCTTCGCACGTTCTTTAATTTTTATGTTTGCGCGAATGTTCTTTTTATTTCGTTATTATCATTTACGTCATTTTGAATGACAATTTTTATCTCTGCTCAAAGGACCAACTTAGCAATTGCTTTGATTTTTTTTTATCAAATAGAAGCATTCTTATCTTCTCTCCTTAATAGTAATGAAAATTAATATTTTTTTCCTTTTCATCCCGATCACTACAACCATTGATTTTATTTTTTTATTGAAATTGAAGTTTTTTCAAATTCTTTAAGGTCTCTCTTTGAGTACATGGAAGCTGATTTTGCGCCATTACCTGAGGTTTACCTTTGAAGAATTAGAAGCTATGTAATAATAATCTTGATAATACTTCGAGACCCTTTTAATGATTTCGAGGTGAACCTAGCTGTTCATTTTACTCAACTGAAGTGAAGGACAAAATCCTGAAGCCAGATCCAGTTTGAGCTGAATTTCTCGCCAGTACTCAACTATATGTAGGCAAATTTGAGACTTGAACTTGAATACGAGTGGGAGATGAATAAATAATCCTGGGATGCGATGGTCAACGTCCACAACTCCTAAATTAAAGTTTGGCATTGCACTTGGCGGATTATAAATTTCAATTCTATATTATCGCACTATTTTCTGATACCAATCGAGCAAAATTAAAGATTCATTTGTCCATACGAAACGATTGCATTGCTTATCTTCTGGATATGTTCCCGATAATGTTTCGAAGATCACAGCGCTTAAATTAATAAATATAAACAGGAATTTCGACAGTGAAGTGGGAAAAGTAGGCTGGTGAAAGTTTTTCTGAAATAATCAACATATATTACCCCGATCTGCCCTAAGTAAGGGTATGTAGAAGTGAAAGGGATTTTACACATTTGTTATAATGATCCTGAGATTGCTTGCCCATTGTAGTTGCATGATGCGAGTTTGATTTGATTTATAAATTTGCCTAATCATTTTTTCAATCAACGTCCTCTTCAGAGAAAGTTCACTGCAAAGCCAGATCGTCTCAGCTATAAGACTATTGTTCCGCGTATCATATCAAGGTCCATTCACTTGATGACACTCAGGATCGTGATATTACAAACATTATTTTTATTCGCTAGGCTTGAAAATAGTCAAAAGTTTCGAGTTGCTGCTTCAAATGGAAATAGCAGTTTTATTAGCATCAGCCTTCTCATCATTAGCGACGTACAGTACCTCGTTTAGGGTACTGTAGAGGTGGCCGATTGGTATAGTCTATTTGGTTAATATGGGTATAGTCTGCTGGGTTAACATGGGTATAGTCTGCTGGGTTAACATGGGTATAGTCTGCTGGGTTAACATGGGTATAGTCTGCTGGGCTAACATGGGTATAGTTTGCTGTGATAACATGGGTATAGACGCATAGTCTGCTGGGTTAACATGGGTATAGTCTGCTGTGTTAACATGGGTATAGACGCATAGTCTGCTGTGTAAACATGGGTATAGTCTGCTGGGTTAACATGGGTATAGTCTACTGTTAGCCGACAGGAACAGTAACAGATAATTGAGTGCTGCAGCCGGTCAACCCTCAGAAGGATAATGTTTCGATAGAAGAGCTTAGTTTTTGTTTTCCATTTTTCTGAACAAAACTCTCAAGGACGTAAGCTGTAAATGGAGGCCAAACCTCCAGTGATTTGGTCGGTCACAGAGACAACCTACTGCTGTGCGTGAAAGTTTACGTCAGAGTGAGGTGGCAAGATTGTGGACGCGCCCTAGAGTAGTAGCTGAACAATCGGATTGCCAGTAGGTCAGGATGAGGTGATTGTACCAGCAGATTATCACAACAGCCGGCGAGTAGGAAAATGAGAGCTAAGGGAGACTATTTTATATTTTGGGTTATTTTCGGAGAGCGACCGTGTAACCGTTATGCGTCCGGCGCACAACAGTAGTGGGAGACTACGGCTCCCGCATATGTTGACATACGAGTATGTCAACATAATATGACTTTAATATTTAAATGCTCGTAATATGATGCATTTGAACTGAAAAATTAATACGAAGTTGCATTTCTTTGTCTGTTTTTCAAATTGTCGATTATGTGAGAATAAGTTTTACTTCTTATCACAATAGTACCTTAATTTATTGATTCGACAATTAACTTTCTATAATTTAAGGCGATGATGGTTTTCGAGAGGAAGTCATTAAAATATACTAATTTTTTGGTTATTTTTCTCTAATATTCAAATGAATTTGATACTGCAGTACTCGGCTGACTACAAATATTCAATTCTTTATTTACTTTCAATCGCGAATCGAATTTCAGCTATTTGTGAGCCACAGTAGGCTTAATTTTCCTGCTTTTAATTCAAAGGAAAGATTCAGGGAGATTCATTACTCTGAATATAGTATGAATTCCTCTATTTTCAAAGAATAATTAATTGATGACTCTGGTGAGCAATGGCCGTCTCGCTCATGAGGAGCGAAGCTCGTATGACGGTTCGACTTGAGAACCGGCATACGCCAAGAGAACCGTCATACGCCAAGAGAACCGTCATACGCCAAGAGAACCGTCATACGCCAAGAGAACCGTCATACGCCAAGAGAACCGTCATACGAATGGGTTGGGACTCCGGCAGTCCCAACCCATTGCGGTGCCTATAATTTTGATTTGGGGCATTGACGCCAAGAGAACCGTCATACGCCAAGAGAACCGTCATACGCCAAGAGAACCGTCATACGCCAAGAGAACCGTCATACGCCAAGAGAACCGAAATACGAATGGGTTGGGACTCCGGCAGTCCCAACCCATTGCGGTGCCTATAATTTTGATTTGGGGCATTGACAACAACATAAAAGCTAGGAATTCCAAATTATTATATTTGTTGGCTGTGCTTGCAATAATTCGTCTTCAAATACCTCATCTGTTTGAGTGCAGAAACTCAACTGCAATTTGCAAGCATCTGTTGCAGCGGATGTGGTGTAATTGCACTTAGCAAGCACCTGGAGCAGAAATTGTGATGTAATTGCTTCTAGCAAACACCTGT